CTGAAGATACAGTGAGAGACAGGGTGTCAAGGTGATGAGAAAGGGGACTCCAAGTTGAAAGGAATGGATTTGAAGAGGAAGAAGAAATGGTAGACAAAAAAGCAGAGTGCAAACTTTGCGTTCTATCAATATTTGCCTGGAGCAGAGCCGGGGTGCTTTCAGAGGCCCAAATGCCAGCTGTTGTCAGTGATGTAAAGCCTATGGCAGACTTATTCACTGGACGTGGCTCATCTTGCAGAGTATATATGTCGCTCAAATCTCTCTGATCAGAGTGAGCCAAGAACTGACTGACTGACAGACTGGCTCCATGAGAAGATGGCCACAAAACCACTGACGAACCCAACTCAGGGTCCAGCAGCTCTAACTGTGACAGAGCTGGTTGTGTTTGGGGGGTGAAATCTGATGAGAATACAACAGTACTGGATGCCAAATTCTCCACAGATAATCCTGAGGGAGTTGGGTTAATTTGACTAAAAGAGGAGTCTAAAATAGTCCCACCTAAATGGGCTAAGCGACCTGATTGGGTATCAAGGAGCTGAGTACCCTCAGGGTAGGGCAATTGACTTGTAAACAATTCTGACATATTGTTAGAGGACTCTTCGGCAAAGAGTAAGCGGTATTCCGGCAGCAGTGCACCTTCAACAATTGGCAGCTGAGATTCAGTTTGGGCTTTAGAAAAGAGAGGAAGAGACAACGAGGATGCTGTGTCAACTCTTGTCGCCACAAAGTCCCTTTGAAGGTTTGAGGGCAGAGACAGAGATGTCAACACAGAAGGCTGAAAGTTCCCGCTAACTCCATCTGACTTTGGAACGTGAGCAGATTCAACAACACCATCTGCCTCTGAAAGCCTTTGTTCCGCATGCTGGGAAGAGGAGGGTAGGAATAGGGAGGGCTGCTGTGGATCAGCAGAGGGTGGAAGAGGAATGGTGGTGGACCAGAGGGGAAGAGAGGATGACAGAGGAGTGAGGGGAGGCAAGGTTGGAATTTTTAATGGGACAGGGGAGACAGATGATGGAGCAGATAGAGTGATGGCATGAGAGGAGGGAAGAGAAGAGGGGAGTAGAGGTAGGAGGGTAGATGAGAAGTAGATGTCAAGAGGGAATGCAAAAATGTTAGAAGAGGAAAAACTGGGAGAAGGAAAGGAGACGGGAGATATGTCTTCACTTGTATACACATTGATAATCAGTCTACTTTTGGCCACTGCAAGGTCAACATCACTTCTAGTAATGTCTTCCTTCTGTGATGAAGAAGAAAAGATCTGCTTTGGGAAAATCTCATCTGTGAGGAAAGCAGAGGAGCTTAGTTGTACCATGGGCAAAGAAGGTGTTGGCTGTATAAAGAAAAAGGATGAAAGGGGGGGAATAAGGAGAGATGGTGTTGGTTGAAAAGTTGATGTTTCCAGTGGCTGAGTGACAGCTTGTGTGTAGGAAATTTCCTGTTGCTTTTGTCCGCTTAAATTAGTGTTGCTTGGATCCCCGTGGTGGGTTTGAGCTACTGTCAAAGTCTGAGAAGCAGTCGGTATAAGAATTTGAGACCTGCTGATGAATGTAACTGTTCCTGGCATCAACATTTCTCTCGGGTGGTTTAGATAAAGTTCACTGCCTGCTGCTAGGCCTCTTGCGGGGGTTTCCGAATCATTGTGGAAATGTCTTTGGAAGAGCATTTCGCTGCCTCCCTCAGAAGCAGTTAAGGGTTGTGTGACAGGAAGCAAAGCACCTTTAGGTTCTGATATGTTGAATGATTGTTGTTTTTTGGCGTCAGGGCCGATAAAGGCTGTAGGGATGGTGGCAGGTTCATCCAAGGAGTAGGGAGCATCAAACTCGTACAAGCTAAAAGTACCGTCCTCCTCCGAGAGCTCAGTCAAATCATACACAAATGGTTCCGACCCCGATGAGTACTCATCGCCCAGTGGTTCCAGAGGATTTGTCCAGTTACCCATGGCAACTGTTTGGTTTTCCCCAGTGGTCATGCTCAGCAGTGACCACTGTGCCGCCACAGGTTTGTTCTTTCTATTGCTGAGTGCAGACGATGATGACAACAAAGATGACGATGATGACGATGCCAGGGGTGCTGCCACTATTGCTGAGGAAGATGCCTTTACATCTAATACCTCGTCTCTCAACACCCCTGTTTCAGGAGGGAGTTTTGAGTCTTGGGTGGTTGCAGGGGTCTCCTTGTTGGAGATTGGTCCTGATGTAAGTTGAGTTGAAGCATGTAAGTGGGAAGTTGTGTGTGTTGCATTTCTTAACCCAGTTGTGTGTTTAAATCCACCTTTTTGCATTGTGTATGCAGGCCTGGTTGTGTATTTGAGTTCAGTTGGCTGTGCGGCGGGTTTTGTGATGTGAGCCACTGGTCTGGGTGATGTTCTGGTGGCAGTCGGGCGCCTTCCTCCAGTTGGCCTCTTTCTACCTGGCCAGACCAAAGGGGTGGAGATGAACCCCAGGGAGGTCTTGGAGCTGCGATGGCCTGGGGGCCTGGGGAGGGAGGCTGGAGGTCTAGGGTGAGAGGGTTCGGGTGGACCTGGGGCGGGAGCTAAGAGTCTGGGTTCTATGAGACTAGGGGCTTGGGTTGGAGGCCTTAATGGACTGGATGCAAGGGACCTATGATGAGAGGCTCTTCCATTGGGGCTGAAAACAAATGCAGGTCTAGTTTGTCTGATTGAGGTGGCCGCAGGAGCTGGAGGTCTGGGTGCCTGAGAAATAGGGGATCCAGCGGAAGTTAATCCAAAAACATGCCTGAGTCTTCTGTTGGGAGCAGCTGGACCAGCAGTAAGTACAGCGGCAGCAGAGGAGTCCTTTGCTGTCACCAGGAAACAGCACAGCAAACCAGACGCCATTATGGTGAAAAAGCAGGTTACATATAATAAATAAAAGTAATTAAAAGTACAAACTCAAGGCAGTATACACAGTGGAGATTAAGAAGCACCTTTACTCCAGAGACATCCCTAATAATCACTGTAAGTGTGAGTATAAGAAAA